CGGGCGGGGCGGGATCTGAGACCGTCAGCCCGGGGGCGGACGGCGCCGGTGAGCAGGGTCTGCCAGACCAGCTCTGCTCAAGCTCAGGTCAGGGGGCATCGCCGAGACTGCCCTCTGATACCGATCCTTCCTGCGGGGCAGTCGCAGGCCGCCCCACCGGCCGTCTGTACCATCCGCAGAGTAGGAGGCTTAGGTCTGCTGGCCAGGGTAGCTGGGCCTTAGAAGAGGAGCCGCCCTCCCACGTCCACAGACACACAGAGAAAGGGTGTCTACTTAGAATATTTATTTATCCTCTTACATGACAAGACACAAAAAGTTACAACTTCTTAAAACTCTTCAAAAGAAAAATATATAATTCTGTAAGCAGCAGCAGCAGCAGCTTCCAAGGTAAAGATACGGGAGGGGGCAGCTCCCAGGAGCAACCGTGAAATGGGGGCCCAGACCTGAGCCCCAGGTAGTGTCACTGGGAAGGGGCCTCCACAGAGGGGGCCGGGTTAGGGGACACAGCACCAGCACATCAGGATCAGTTACCAACACGATCACAGCAGGGCAGGGCAAGAAGCCCGCTTCAATTCACGACACTGGGGTGGGGGTGGGGTTCCCCAGTATGGTCAGGAGAGTGGGAGGGCCCCAGGTGGCTGGGCAGCAGCTCCTGCCTCCCCCACAGCAGAGCAGGTGCCTCTAGCCTCTATACTGGCCTTCAAGTCTGCCCTCAGCCTTGGCCAATCCCAATCTAGGGGTGAGGGGTCTCAAAAGAGAGGCCAGGCTGGAAAAATAATTTCCTGGATGGGGTCAGCAGAGGGTCTGGAGCATACACAGCGCCTAGCCACATGGGGCCCATTCCCAAGGACCTTGGCCAGCTGATGGCTGGCAGGCACAGCTCATTCCTTATGCATGCACAGGCACACAGACCTAGTGTGGCCTGGGCCAGCCTAGGGCCATGGTGGTCCACCAGAAGGTCCCACAGTGGGGCGCTTGCCCTAGGAGCCAGCACTTACCCCACTCTGGGATTCCTGCAAGGCTGGCCAAGGTGTGGAGAGCAGCAGGGACAGTGGATGGATGGACATGACAGGCAGAGCCACACGGGCACAGCAAGTTCAATAAATAGGTTTGTGTGGGTCCCCTTTGAAGACCAGGAGAGCCTCAGAGGCAGGAGCCAGTGGGAGGAGGGCAAAGTCCAGTCTGCTCAGTCCAGGCCTGAGCCCCCAGCCCAGAGACCAGCTCTGTCCCTGGGGGTGTTCAGGCTGGGCACGACTGGGTCAGGGTCTGGCTCCAGGAATGTACAGATTTCTGCATTTTTTACATAAATAAAACATTGATCCCAATTATTGTGCCCGCAGGGCCCCATGGGGGCCTATGTATGTACTACCCCTGTGGACCCTGCCCCCTGCCCCTAGCCTGCCCACTCACGGGGCACAGCTGGAGAAAGGCTTTCCTTCTCTCAGTCCTGGGCTGGCTGCCCTGTTCCACCCTCACGGTGAGCTCAGGCCTGGGGGTCCTGCAGTAGTCCCAGGAGGGACTCAGCAATGCCCAGGAAGTAGACCACCTGCGCGATGCCAAACAGTGGAGCGATGACCAGTGCACGGCAGTAGGCACCCTTCAGGAAGGCAGAGGGGCCCTCGTGCTGCCAGATCTTCCTGTTGGGGAGGGCAAGGTCAACCCTGCCTGGCCCCCACCCAGCCCCAGCCCCATCCCCAGCCCCAGGACCTGGCCTACCTGGCACAGTCCAGAAAGCCAGAGTAAGTGTCTTCATGGACTCCACGCTGCAGAGACTGGAGCCGCGTCTTCACCACTGCAAGGGGCACATGCGTCAGCTCAGGAAATCGGCCCTTGGCCCCCATCTCCAGCCCGGGGTCCAGGTCCAGCACTGACCATCACAGGGGTTGACAGCGACAGCAGCTGTACTTCCAGCCACACAGCCGGCCAGGAAGGACACGTAGAAGGGCGCCTTCTCCTGAGACGCCGGGCGGCCCAGCTGGTCCAGGTTGGCGAACAGGGGGAAGTACACCACGGAGAAGGGGACGTCCCTGCAGAGAGGGCTGGTGACGGCCGCTGCGGGTGGGACGCTCACAACCGCCTCCGCCCTTCCTGTCCTCCTACCTGAGCAGGGTGGCCCCCAGGCCCTTGTAGAGGCCAGCAATGCCGCGGCTCCGCAGCAGGTCTCGAGTCAGCTGAGTGGCCGTGGGCCGGGGTGCAGCGGGAGCCTCCACCGGGGTCGCGGCACCCACCTGGGCTGAGAGCTGGGCCTGGGCAGCCAGAATCTTCTTCTGGGCAGCTGGTGAGACAAGGGCTTTGGTCCCTTCCTCTGAGCGCAGAGCAGAGGACAGGCCCCAGCTCCTGCCCCGTCCCATCCTACTCCACTCTCAGGAGCCTCACCAATGCGGCCTGCATCCTGCAGCTGGATCTTCAGCATCTCCATGGGGGTGGTGACGATCACCTGGCAGGTGCCAGCCCCGCAGCCTGCCAGCATCTCTTTAGGCAGCGTCAGCTTCTGCCTGTGGAGGTGAGGGTGTAAGGAGAAGTGGGGAGCCCTGCCTGGCGCAGAGGGAGAATGAGCCCCTCCAGCAGCAGGCACCAGGCCCAGGGCCCACTCGGGCAGGGGCCAGGAGGGACAGAAGTGGGAAGGAGGGATCGTGCATGTCCTAGGAGGAGCCACACTGGCAGCCCATGCTCCGTGACAGGGGAGCTGGTTGGTCCTCCACATCCTGGCAGCAGGCAGTAGCCGAGGGCCAAGTACAGCTGACTCATCGCTGGGAGCCCCCTCATCCCCCATGCAAGGGGAGGTGCTTCCCAAGGTCAAGCAAGACAGAGTAAGGCCTGAGGGCAGGAGAGCACTCGGGGGTCCTGATGGGATCCAGCAGCCAGGGCTGATATCCATGTCTACCCAGGCATTTGCCATGGTTCCCTCCCCAGGACCTGGGCCCACAGCACCAGGCAAGCCAAGTCCTTACCCGTCCTTCGAAAGCTGATGCCGGAAGAAGTCATTAGCTGCCAGCTTGATGGCTTTCTCGGGGGTGACCAAGGTCAGGTTCACAGCAGCGCCTGCAGGGTATTTCAGGGTCAGCCAGGCCTGGGGGATGCAGGCAGGTGGTGTGTAGGGGAGATGACATGGTGTGCCTTGGGTTGGGGAGGCTCTGGGCCAGTGCATGCCTCCAGCTGGCAAAGTCCCATGTGCCACTCCTTGGCTGCTGCGTCCTGCCCTCTCACCCACATTTGGACTTGGTCTGTGCCAGGTGGGGTGGCGACCAGGCGGAAAAGGGGCAGCACTGTGGCCACCTCCTTCGTGGAGTCATCCTCCCATGTTGGCCACCTCCCTCCCCTTCCTTTGCATCCCCTCCCCCGTCTCCATCTGTCTGTGATGCTGGAGACCCAAAGCTCATGGCAAGCCTCCCTGGGCACGCCTCCATCCTGAGGGACAGCAGGCTTTTGCACTGGGGGGTGGGGAATGTGAGGACACAGGTGTCAGAACTAGGGGAGGTGGTGGCCAGCCCCTTCTCAACGTGAAGGCTTAGAGCTGTACAAGCAGGCAAATCCAGGCCTGGGATTGTTTCCTAAGCTGCTTTGCATAATGCCCCTTTGCCCCCCAGACTCAGGCTCATGCTGGGTCCCACTTGTCCTGGGAAACAGGGGAGGAGGGTGCAGACCTAGGGCAGTGTCCAAGCACTGGCAGTGAATGGGGGGCAGGGTGACGTCCAGATGGGGGTCTGAGATCTGGCCCCTTACCCTCCCCCACAGCACCAAGGGCTGGGTTGGGGCCTCAGGACAGGTGCAGTCAACACCCCAGACCACCTCCACATGTACATACGAGGCCCAGGCATGGCTCTATGCCCCGCTGGCAGCCCGACCTGGCCCAAGCCTCACCCCGATACATGCCGAAGTAGCCCTCTGAGCGGATGGTCTTGATTAGGCAGTCGGACCTGTGGCCAACGGGAGGGAGTGAGCCAGGGGCTGGCTGGCACCCCAGTTCCCAAGGTGCAGATGTGAGCTGGCACCTTCCCCACCCAGCCTTGAGCATCCAGGGCCCAGAGGTCAGGCCCGTGGCGCAGCATGACCCTGGCAGGTTCTGTATGGGATCCCCCAGGCCTGCCCTGCCCTAACCACTTTGTCTAGCCCTGGGTCACAGATGCAGAGCCCCCCAGCACACTTACATGCTCGAGTACATGCGCTGGCCATTCTGCTGGTTCTGCAGCCTCGTCTTGGCCAGGTCGATGGGGAACACACAGGTGACCCCGATTAGTCCAGCAATGCCACCATTGATGAGCTTGGCTGGCAGGCTGCATGTGCAGGGGGAGGTGTCAGGACCTCTTCCTCCACCACAGGTTGTGGGTGGGGTCTGGGTCTGGGTAGAAGTGACACAAGCCAAGAGGGAAGCTGGGGGTCAAGGTGTCTGACCTGATCTGTTTATCAGCCATTTAACTGTAGCAGGAAGGCAGGAGCAGCAGAGGTGGCCACCAGGCGGTAGAGGTGCTGATGACAGGGAGGGGGAGGGGAGTCAAGGCAGCAGCAGAGATGGAGGTGGCAGTGAGGGCTGGTGGGACCAAGGCGAGAGGCAGGTGGTCCTCCACCCTCAGGGTGATTGCAAGGCACCAGCCACCACTCCTGTGACAAAAGGAAGGGACAGGAATTAGTGGGGGGGGCATGGGGGCAAAGCCTTGCTCCCCATCCTCATTTCACAAGGAGCTGCATCCCCAACCTTCAGCAGAGCCTGGGGATGCATGAAGAGGGTGGGGAGGCACCTGCCACCTGGCCCATCCCTGGGGCCACCTGGCTTCCCCTCAGCTCCCACCCCAGTGTCCTCCCTGCCAACCTCGCACACAAGGAGACAGGCACACACTCTGGCTCACATGCACACAGGGCAAGCTCCAGCTTTTAAAGGGCCAGGCACCTCTTGGGGGAGGACTTGAACAGGGAAAGCTAGCACCTATGCTCTTTAGGATGGGTATGGATCTCCTCCCGGTACCCCAGGACCACACCCTGGGTTAAGCCATGGCTGTCCAGATGGGGTTGGCCACCTCAGGGACAATCCCCTCCCACAGAAACTAAGATACCCCCAACACCAGCTGTTACCCCACACCAGCTTGTCACCTACCCGTGGCCAGAGGGGTCAGCAGGGGGTACGGCTACGCCTCAATCCTGAGGCTGTCTCCCCATCCTTTCTAGGGATGAGGGTAGAAGGGCCTCTCCCACCAGCAGCAGGGCTGGGGGCCAGGAGCCAGCCTCGAGGGTCTTCCGGGGGACACTGTCAAGACAATGGAGCCCTGGAGGCCTCACAGCTCCCCAAGCCCTCCATGTCTCCCTCAGCACTGCAGAGGTCGCCTGTTCCCAGCTTTGCAGTCCTCACACAGTCACCCAGCTGGCTCACACCCGGGGGCCCTACCTGGCCTGCCACCCTCGGGTCCCGCTCACCCTGAGTGCACAGTGCCTCCAGGCTCCTTCACTGCTCCCGCAAGCCGGCTCTACTCAACCTCAACGAGGAGATAAGCAACCAGAAGACGGCTAGGGGCCCCTGGGATTGGCTGAGGGGCGGGGTGGGGCGGAGCGACTTTCTCTTTCACTTTGCTAGCTAGGGATCTCTGCAGCCTCTGGGAAGGGGAAGAGAGAGAGCCCTGAGGCAGCTTCTTCAAACCAGGGTCCAATTTGGGAGCTTGGATGGGGGAAATTGGAGCCTGATCTGGCTGGCCCAGAATATCAACCTGCCTACCCATAGACCCCGGGCCCTTGGCAGCCCAGTGGTTTCTGGCTGCAGCCTGTGGACTGAGCCCAAATCTGCCTAGGGCCCTGGCATTCCAGGACAGAGGCTCTGGGTGCCAGCGCTTTGCATGTGGGAGCACCTGGGGAGATGCTAGGTGCCCACCTGGCTCTAGGCTTGCATGTACCTCAGCGATCCTCTTACAGGGCATGAGAAGCCCATCTGCTGGAAAGGGCAGAGAAGGGGTGCCAGGATATCCTGCTTACCTGGCAGGAGAGGTTCAGAGAGCAGTGAAGGTGCCCTTTGCCCTGCCACCTGGGCACAGGAACACTTGCCTTTCCCGGCCCTGACCTCTGAACTTCCACCTAATCTCTCCCTGTATCCCCTCCAATCCACCCCCAGGGTGTACGTTGACCGCAGCCAGCTCTCCCTGGCTTGTGGAAACTTCGAGACCCCAACCTGTTCCCAGGCTCAGCCTCAGGTCTAGGGTGGGGGACACCAGGATGCTGGGGGAGGGAGTCCTGAAGTTAGATCCTCTGATGTGGGCAGTGGAGAGAGCAAGACTGGCCTGGAGATCCCGTGGGCTGAGTCAGCCCCACCTGCAGACCAGGCCAGAACATGGGGAGGCACAAGGAGGAGCTCGGCGTGGCACAACTCGCAAAGGGGCACCCTGAACCCTCTTCCCCTCTCACTTCGTGTTCCACCCGTTTGCGCGCTGTCAAGGGCCCTCCAGATCACCATAGAAGTGGGCAGTCCAGCAAGGCAGGCCCCTGAGTTCCCAGGACTAAGTCAGTACACAGCCCCAGCCATCTCCCCAGGTAAACCGAGGACGCAGGCACAGATAGCGCAGGAGCGCACAAAGGCTGCCCGCAGGACCACGCCGTGAGGCTGGAGGAGTGGGCAGGGCCGGGCTCTGCTCCCTTCCCGGCCTCGCGTCCCTCCCTCCGGCTGGCCTGGCCCAGAAGGCAACCCGATGGGGACAAAGGAGAGGCGCCGAGGCCGCGTGTTCCTCTCGTCAGGCATCGGCCCTGCCCACTGCTGCTGGGACCCGGCCGGCCTTGAGTCCCCGACAGGGATCCCGGCCGAGCCCGTGGGGACACGTGTGCGCCCCTCAGCCGGGCCTCCCTCCTCTCCTCCCGGCTGGCTCCTCCGCTGGGA